AGGAGTTGTTTAAAAAGCTTTCAACATACTAGTCCACTGGTATGGAATCTTATTCACAGTGACAATGCAGGCACCGCACCTAACATTTTCCATTTAATCAATTCTCTTAAAAGGATGAAATCTCAAGAACAGTCTAAGGAAAGTATAAACACTTCCCGCTTTTCTCTGCATATACATTTTTTTTTCACAGATGAGTTTTTTCAGTACAATACAATATTTTACTTTTTTCTATGTGCTCAGTGATACTGGTACAGGATTTATGAGATTAAGCCTAACTATTGATATATTGCGCTGCATACTGTATATAATTGTACGTAATATCAAGATATCAATTTTAAAAGAAAGAAACGATAACAGTAACTTGTGTAGAATATATTGAAATGTATAAGTTATTGAAAGACAAAACCTAAAAGAATGCTATAATATTGATTTGGATTGTAAGAAAAGCATGGCCAATCAATAATTCATATCCTGAACATAATGGAACGTTGAAATGAATTCAGATTAAACTCTATCCTTGTTTTATCAGCTTTACTTGGTAATGGAAAAAGCCTAATTAATAGCCGGGTTCGATAGTTCAACGACAGATAAAAGCCACGAATAACGTGCTATCTCACAATTCAATCAATAAATCCTTATTGATTGCGTTGTGATACTGGGAACAAAGTAATTGATAATCAGTCTAGGAAATTGGGTGGGTTTAGAAGTTTAGAATGTGAATGACCACTTACAACTAGGAAGGTTATAGACAATGTATGATCTGAAGGTCGTTCACTTAGGAAAATTACTCACCACACACACACACACTCTCTCTCTCTCTCTCTCTCTCTCTCTCTCTCTCTCTCTCTCTCTCTCTCTCTCTCTCTCTCTCTCTCTCTCTCTCTCTCTCTCTCCACCCTAAACTCGATATAAAGTTAAAGCTGTCCTTGACTATCACGCAAGAAACACGCGTGACTTTTTAGAATATAGGCATAGTTCATTAGACAGACCTCTTTGACCTTGAATGAAATTACTGATGATCAGCAGCTTCCAAGATATAAAATAGGCTCTGAGCTGCTTTGGTCTCAGTACGATTTCAAGCTCAGAAGAGTGTTGTGTCTATTTCTTACAGGTAAGAAACTTATGCTTTATACTCGCTCTTAAAAGTTAAAGATTTTATAGTAAGTTGTAATATCCTTCTGAATTATTTTTATTTCATCAATATAATGTAATAGTGAGTTCTCTTTTCTACTATGAAATATTTTACTGATTTGATATTTTACTGAATTGATGTTCATTGTATATATAATGTAATATTATTGAGTTTCCTTCTTCCACAATCATAATGTAATTAAATATTTTAGAGCTTCGATGTTCATTAGTATTTGTTTGAAATAATTACCAGCTTCATGTTATAATTTAATTGAGAATAAATATATATATTCTTTAAATAATAAGGATAACACTCACAGATCTTTTTCGGGTCGTTACCTTACATTAAATAGAATAAAATACATTTATTACAGTTATTGAATTTTAGGCACTTTAAATATTTAAATCACTTGTATTCAAAAATGCAGAAAAATGAATGGACAAATGAAATACTAGATTGTGGAAGAACTATTTAATAAGTATTGTAATATGTATTGTATGTAGTTCAACATAAATAAATTTACATGTTGTATCTTTAGAATATATATATATATATATATATATATATATATATATATATATATATATATATATATATATATATATATATATATATATATATATAAAGTGCGATTTCAAGCTCGGAAGAGTGTCGTGTCTATTTCTTACAGATTCTTGGTACTTTCTCGTAGCCAAAGCTTGCCTCACAAAAAAATGTAACCCTATCTACACCATCATATGTGACACCTTATTCTTAAGAATGCCGAACTTTCTTTCTTCTCCTAACTAGGCACGAGAAGAAGGTTATGATGGAAAACATCTAAACAACAACACGAGTTTTCTCATCATAATAATAATGGCGGAGAATCCTTTCTCTCCATAATAAAAGTGGTGGAGAATCCGGGTATTAATTAGGCTTTTTCCATTACCAAGTAAAGCTGATAAAACAAGGATAGAGTTTAATCTGAATTCATTTTAACGTTCCATTATGTTCAGGATATGAATTATTGATTGGCCATGCTTCTCTTACAATCCAAATCAATATTATAGCATTCTTTTAGGTTTTGTCTTTCAATAACTTATACATTTCAATATATTCTACACAAGTTACTGTTATCATTTCTTTCTTTTAAAATTGTTAGTTTCTATAACTGATTTATCTTCTCTAAAATAAAGTCCTTCATTATTATTATTATTATTATTATTATTATTATTATTATTATTATTATTATTATTATTATTATTATTATTATTATTATTATTAAGGATTTCAACGGAGTTTCGAGATGAGGAAACCAGGACTCGTCACTCATGGAACTCAGAGTTCCAGCCTATCTCTGATAGTCCCTGGCAAAAACTCTCAAGTCCATCACTTTAAAAAAGATTTTAAAAAAATGAAATTGTACATCGTTTTTATTTTATATCTGGAATAATTATCAGTTTCATATGATCACATTAGAGTAAAACTATTTTTTCAGTAACTGTCTGCACTCTATCCTGCTATTACCAAACTAGTTTTATCAAATGAATTAGTTTCACTGTTTATTACTGATTTTTGTAATAACATGTGCATGCATGATATTCTGGTTAACTTGGTCAGTCAGGAACCAAAATAATTGAAGAACATTTTAAAATTAAATAAATAAATTAATAAATGAAAAATGCATGTGTATTAAATTAAATAAATAAATTAATAAATGAAAAATGCATGTGTATTACGTTGTTATGAACGCGGTGAAAATGATCAATTTTTATTAGCACATATGTTGAGTGATTAGTTTTTACGAACTATAAGCATATAAAATGTTAGATCACACCGAGGAAAATGGAGTAAAGCGTTTACCAAGAGACGGCTTTTCGGGTACGACTCACGCATTTTAACTAAATATACTACCGCAGCTTTTAACAGAAATGTGAGGTCTATAGCTAGGATATTTAACTTCAAATAGTACAGCTGATATACGTTTTAGTGACAATGCAATTGGTTATTTCAATCTTAATGGTGCAGAAAATAAAAAATTAAGCGGTAACAATCCTGTTCAAAATGTTAGCACTACTCAGTCTTCTTCAAATTGTTAACACTGGTTCTTCCGTGTGACATTCATAATCCTGTAATCTGAATGGTGTTACTGTTATTAATCATAATGACGATGCCACTGTTAAAACCCATTGGTATTGTATAAAAAAAAAATCATGAGTTTTAAGAATGCATTAATAATGATGATATCAATGATTTTCTATTTAAGTTGTTTGATATAGACCTTAATGTGTGTGTGTGTGTGTGTGTGTGTGTGTGTGTGTGTGTGTGTGTGTACAGGTGATATATGTTTTTAACATAGCTTTAACAATTATTCAGTCCGATATTATTTGCCTGCAAGAAACTCAGCCATACGCTAAACTAAGCATACTTCGGGGCCCCGAGTGGCCTAGTGGTCTAAAGCGCTGTCCGCTACAGATCACTGCCATCTCACCTCTGTCTGCGTGGGTTCGAATCTAAGTTTCGTCGAATGTGGATGTGAGAAAGCTTGCCAGTAGCTTCTCGTGGGTCGGTGGTTCTTTCCGGTGATTTCCCGGTTTCTTCTTCCACCATTAATACTGGCCGCCATGAATAGCCTATCGTGTGATGAAAAATGGCGTTAAGCCCAACAACAACAACAACAACAACTAAGCATACTTCAAAAATACCAGGATATAGTCGACACTTCTTCAAATACCGGAATAATACTAAAAATGTAGGTGGACAAGTCACCTATGTCCATGACACTCTCCCTAACGTAAATCGGATCGCATCATCAAATCAACAAATATCACCTGGAATGAAACTTGAATTGAGGTACAACAGGTTAAAAAAAATTCACGAAACATCAATAACCGTGTGTGTGTATGTGTGTGTGTGTGTGTGTGTGTATGTACAGTACGAATTTAATTTTTCTAACCTATATGATAGTTTTGTTTGTATTAAACTATATATATATATATATATATATATATATATATATATATATATATATATATATATATATATATATTAATACAAACAATACTACCATGCAGGTAAAAGAAATTAAATTCGTACTCGAACCCAGGATCGCGAGTAAATGGCACCCACCGCATTGCCTGCACGCACCAGCCCATATACCGTCACTACTAAGCACGCATCACCAAATAAATGATTTCACTGAGTAGGTGGTGTGTGTGTGTATACATACATACATACATACATACATACATACATACATACATACATACATACATACATACATACATACATACATACATACATACATACATACATACATACATACATACATACATACATACATACATACATACATACATACATACATACATACATACATACATACATACATACATACATACATACATACATACATACATACATACATATATATATATATATATATATATATATATATATATATATATATATATATATATATATATATATATATATATATATATTATACCAGGAAGGATTAAAATCGAATACATTGAAAACGTATAGAAACATAACAAATAATAAAGGAAAAACCTGATTTGCAGCGACTTCACTGTCCATGATAAAATCTTGGATGATGATCAAGATCAGAGAGATAAACTAATTGAAAAATGGACCAGAAAAGACAAACTTGTTATTCTTAACAACGGTGCCACCACTATAATAGCCCCAACGAGTGGTAAACTAATGGCCCCAACGAGTGGTAAACTAATAGATTTGACCATTAGCACCTATAACTAGCCACAACTATCGACTGGAAACTACTACACAATACTACTCTTGGTAGTGGTCACTTTCCACTATTCATTGCCATTCATAACATCGATCATTACTAACCTAACTACTAACCGCTCCGGTGGCCTAGTGGTTAGAGCGTCCGCCTCGGATGCGGGGGGGGGTCGTGGGTTTTATCCCCGGTCGAATCATACCAAAGACTTACAAAAATGGTACTAACAGCTACCTTGCTCGGCGCTCAGCATTAAGAGGTTAGTGTTAGGACTGGTTGGCCTGGTGTCAGGATAATCTGACTGGGTGGGACATATTGCCACATGTCTGCGGCATGATGCCCCAGTGCTAGACAACACTATAAACTGCCACACTGCAGACATCGTAGCGATATGACTGAAAAATTGTTAAAGCTACGTTAAAAATCATAATCACACTCACACCTAACTAGATGGAAATTTGACAAAGCTGTTTGGGACTCTTTCCTTGCAGCACTATCTAAAATTATAATAGATCAATACGGACCATAAAAGTAATACGCTTCATCACAGAGCATCCTAAAGTCTAGCGGCTAAAGAACAAAAATTTAAATGTTTTGGTAGACAGATGCATGCAAGCAATCTGTTGAAAAATTACTTACTCGCTTCCAACACACCAAATTAGGATCAATCTTTATAATTTATAAACAAAAGGAAACGTCTGCTATAAAAACCATTAAGGAAGCCAAAAGGCACTCATGGCGTTATGTACTGCTCATCTCTCTTCTCTAGAGTCAGTGGATGGGATAAAATTAAACCAACCAAAGGTAAATCAACAAGAACAACCCCAATTATCCCGGAAGCAGTCACTGATAAAGGTAACGCAGACTGGACTGCCAAACACTTTGCTGAGACGAGCAGTAACAAGAATCGTAAATCAGTGTAATATACTAGAAACTAACCTCCTTAACTATACATTGGTCAACCAATAAATAGTGACAGGTCACCAATAAATCATGCTCTTACAATCAACGAAGGAAGCAAAGCAGCAAATAGCAACAAAAGAACCCACCTCTCCCGAAGAAGATCAGTTGAAATATGAAATATATCCAAATTTACCAGAAGAAATTCTAATACTTACAGAAGAATTACCACTACAATTGAGAAGTGACGACATAGTATTAAGGGACGCGGCAAGAACTTCAATTCATGAAAACAACCATCCAGGGAAAAACTCTATACTAAAACGCAACAAAGCCTTTAGCAAGAAACTAGTTCACATTCTACCCAAACGGAAACATACGAGAAGCTGGAAGAATTCCAAGTAAACAACATACAACCAGATCCAATTAGACATTTAAATCAAGCGCCTGGAGAAAACAAAAAAACTAAAGATCAATCTGCAAGCCCTAAAACTGGAGGGAAAAAAAACAACAACAAGATAATGGAAATGAAAAACTCTCTGATATCAAAATAACTCTAGAATAAAAAAAAAATCGAAACTTTAATGTAATATATACAGATGGATCGAAATGGACTGAATTAAACAGGACTGCTTACAGGAAATTCAACTGCTAATTAGAGAAACTAAAGAAACAGGTCATACACATTATTAATGTGGGTATCCGCACGTATAAACCTAAAAGGTGTGTGTGTGTGTGTGTGTGTGTGAGAGAGAGAGAGAGAGAGAGAGAGAGAGAGAGAGAGAGAGAGAGAGAGAGAGAGAGAGAGAGAGACTGAATGTAGCTTTAAACATTTTTCAGTCATATCACTACCATGTCTGCAGACTGTAATGTGGCAGCTTATAGTGATGTCCAATACTGAGGCATCATCCCGCAGACATGTAGAATTATGTCTCACCCAGTCACATTTTTCTGACTCCATACCGACCAGTCCTAACAATAACCTCTCAATGCTGAGCGCTTAGCGAGGCAGCTGTTGGTACCATTTTTATCTTTGGTGTGACGCGGTCTGTGTTCGAACCCGCGACCTCCCGCATCCGGAGGAAATGATAGAGCAGACCAAGAAGTCAATTAATATCTTTAAAACGAAACGATAGCCGAGATACACTATAGTATTCATGAGATATATTGTCAAGACCAAAATCAACCAAAACGATTGGGAGACAACACGAAAGGAAGAACGCTATTTGAAATTCAAGAGCAAGTAATACGTAACATCAAAACCAAAATTATGGATAACATTAATGAACAAACAAATAATTAATCGAAAAAGAACTAAAAAAAAAACTCCTCTAGTCATCTGCCTAAGTAGACATATCAGGGAAAATAACTCAAAAAATATTAAATGCCCTCAGCGCCCTCTAATACAATATCTCAAACATGTGTTTAATATATGCCCCGAATACCTTACACAAAGGATGATTTTACAAGAAAAACAAAATCTTATCAAATCCAGTCGGATATACTCAAATACCCTGCAATGCAACAACAGTAACACAATAATTACAGACAAAACTTTTGCCTTATTTTTTAAGGCCATATACAAATATCACAATATATAATCATCAATTATACTTAGTCTGCAAGACTTCACAACCACCCCAAAAAAAGGAATTTACATTGTTGCTGCTTGTATCGAGTTGAGGAGAGTGATAATCGAGCCAAGAATATAGTGTATGGAGTTCAGATAAGTAACTAACAGTGAATTCCTCTTCAGTTTTAATTACTAACTCTTTTCATATAAAATTTTCATACAGTAGACTACATTTTGTATAACAGTTTTCCAACATTCGTGCCAACTAAATTTCAAACATTATACCCTCATTCCAGTTGTGGAGTCTACAGTGAAATAAACGTCTCATATGCCTGGTGTACAACTGAGAGTACAGTCAAATGTGCACTAATGTGATATCAAGGATGAAATTTTAAAAAATTTGGGTATATTTTTTTATTTTGGTTTTTCTTTGATCGGTCTACTTGTAAAAGGTGCTATTATAAATCATTGGGTACAAAACTTGCAATGCATTTGATGTGTCTAGAATGTTAAATTATGACGAGAATACTAGACAAGGCCAATGATAGACAACATTTACACAAATTTTTTCGATAATGTGCATGATTGTGTTGTAACTTAAACATAAGTTACACTTTCTAATTATCAGCCGAGTGTCTTCCGAAATGTTATTGACCCTGGATATTTCGGAAAACGTGAAGAGATAAATGCTTCGAGAGTTTCCGTAAACACGATATCACATTTCCGAAAAACTTATTTTCTTTAATTTAAATACTCACAACATTACCTAGAAAAATATCCCAAAGCCAACGTCAGTCCACACTAGTCATCTCTCTCTCTCTCTCTCTCTCTCTCTCTCTCTCTCTCTCTCTCTCTCTCTCTCTCTCTCTCTCTCTCTCTCTCTCTCTCTCTCTCTCTCTCTCTCTCTTCATGTTTCCTTAGACCTTTTTCATTTTAATAATATTTCTTTAACAACATATACATAGTGACACAAGGCTGCATTGTATTAAATTTGACAGTTCTCAGCTATATGATATATATATATATATATATATATATATATATATATATATATATATATATATATATATATATATATATATATATATATATATATATATATATATATGAGACAGCTTATTTGGTTACAACTTAGACAAGTTTGAATGGTATAAAGATGTGTTACAAACAAACATATAACATAACACAAATCTTAATTTCTTTTATTTCCAATCATATACTACATTTGACAATAACAACATTGAGATAACCAGCAGTATAAATCTTCATGACACAATTGGGTTGAACGGCGTGAAGAAGGAATTAATTATATATTTGAAGTGGGTAAGCACAGAATTTGTACTTCCGTTTGACCCCAAGTGTCGCCATGTGTAAACCTACGGAATTTCACATTGAAGGTAGTGTTCGAAGTGTTTGGACTCAAATGGGTGTATACTGTATACATATTGTTAGACATGGCTGATATTAATAATTGGAAACTTTATAGGGTTAAACGGAAATTAACTTTATGCCGTAGGTTTACGTGGGTGACACTGTCGTGTCAGACAAGACATAAAACATTAACAGTGGGACTATTATAGTTGGTTTCCCATATTGAAAGAATGTATGAAGTCAGAAGGAAAAAATAATGCTATAGTTTGTGCATACTATCCAATGACCTAAAATTTTGTTACTGTTAAACACCAACTTTTGAATCATGTTCAACGCCAACATTTTGAATACTACCCAACACCCAATATTTGATTCCTTTCGAACACCCACGTTTTAATTACTATTTAATGACTCACTTTTGGTTACTGTTCATATTATCCATAACGCTGGATGTTTTGGCTGAAAAAAAAACCAAAAGAGTAGATGATAAGAGAAGGGGTTGAAATATAAACAACAACATTCATTCATTCATTCATTTCTCGTTTAAGTCGCTTGCTGCCGTGAGGCTTATACGACTGCTTACAGTCCCGGGCATGGACTGCAGTCCCTCTGGGGAGTATGCCACAGTCCCGGGCGTGGTCTGTGGTCCCCCCTGGAGGGCGCTTGGCCTTTGGTGCTGGGCCTTTTCCTGACCCCTAGAGATCAGGGACCTCAAAAAAAGACCCGTATCGTATCTATTGTGATTTCCAATCTTAAGCTCCAGAAATGACAGAACCGCAATCCACTCTCCAACCCAGTCCGCCACTCCCGCACCACCAAAGTCCCCAAGTTATTATCCACCCAATTTTATTTCAATTGGGTGGATTTTTTGTCAAATATATACCAGTTCTTCCTATTGGTATCCCTATGTCAATGTTGTGTAAGCCACCTGTGCAATTGTCCTAATGAGCCTGAGTTGTGAATTTGGAATAAATATTTGTAATTGGAATTTTGCGTACTTGGCGTACTTATAATGTTTGTAAAAAAAAATTACCAATCTTTAGGCGTTTGCCGCCTATTTATTAGATTTATCACCGCTTTGGTTTGTATGGCTGTGTAATTTTGACCGCCTTGCCAAAGAATATTGTTTGGGCCGTAGGTCTTCAGAGCCAAAGTGAAGACATAGGTTGTAGGTTTTTCGTTTCGAACAGTTGGCCGCGCGGCCCGGACTGTTCATCGCTTATCGTTTGTCCGTACCAGGGTTGGGACTTTGAGACAGCAGTGGGGAGGTGGTTAGTACTGCCTGGTCTCTTGATTTGTTTTGAAGTGTAGTCTGTTTGTGTGTGTGTGCTGGGTTGGGCTTTTGGGATGTTAGC